CACTCCCCAGCTGAGACTCTACTGGTGTGGATTGGCACACAGCGAAATACGCAAGTAAACCGTTCTGCTGCCGTTCCACACCGCTGGTTCCTCCGGTGTGAAGTCGTGGTTAGTATCGTCTGTTCAAACATTCCAAAAGCAGATGGCCTCCTCAGTCAGCTTTCCACAACTGTCTATAACTCAGTCAATTTTCCAGGCAATGAGACTGACTTTGATGCTGTAGCTGACCGCCGTCCCCAATACTCTAATAAATTTCTAATTGCACAATCTTTGCTTCAAGTTTTGTGATTAGGTCAACCATCCACTGCAGTTAACCCTGACAGATAGCATAATATCTAATTTTATTTATTTATTTTGCCTTTATTTAACCAGGTTGGTCCCGTTGAAGATCTCTTTTGCAAGGGGGACCTGGCCAAGACAGACAGAGTAGCAGCACAAGTTACAACATTAATACATTCACATTTAAATACATTTCCACATGCCGGGGTTATAGGTCAACGAATAATTTGTAAGCTTTTGCTTACTTTTTGGATTCTTCAATAAATTCGTAAATATGGAAATATTTACCGATTTATTAATAAATTAGGATATCCGGAGATATCTACGGGGCACCACCCCTTCTAATTAGAAAGGGAAATGAATCCAAAATTCTTATCAGTCTTGACTAAACAATCCGTGAATCCTAACGAGCTGCTGTTGAATTTTATATGACACAAACAGATTCACTTGAGACAAAAATCTTAATTGGCTACAGACTTATTAACTAATATATTCACTTCAGCTCAATCAATATCAACCATCTGATTTTATCAAATGAATAACAACAATGAAATGCTACCGTAAAACAAGGAGACCCCAATGGATGGGTGTGTTTTAGTCGTGTGTCCTCCTAAACACTGAAAACAAACGTGTGTGTGTGTGTGCGTGCGTGTGTGTGTGTGTGTGTGTGTGTGTGTGTGTGTGTGTGTGTGTGTGTGTGTGTGTGTGTGTGTGTGTGTGTGTGTGTGTGTGTGTGTGTGTGTGTGGAGCAGTGATGTGATGCTGCAGGAATGTGAGCTTTAAGCTGTGACTTTTCCTCTCTCGCGTCTCGGTCGCGGGGGCAGCATCCCAACTAAGTTGCAGACCGTCCTCTCCCCAGTTTACCTCCATCAGCTCCTCCGGTACGACCCCAAGGCATTCCTGGGCCAATTTGGAGATGCACAGTACTTCAATCTGTGCATTTATTTTAAATTATAGAAGGTAAAATTTAATTTAAAAAAAAAGGGAAAAGAAAATTAAATCAGACATTGTAAAAAACCCAGAAGGATGCAAACATATGCATGAATTTTGAACGATTTAATGATAATTTAATCAGTTCTGTTCAGGTTTGTACCTCAGCTCCATCATGGCCACCAACCATGCAATAGGCTGGCATCACTGCAGACATTTTTTTTATTTGAGAAAGTAGGGAAATGACTGCATTCCGCTTCTGCACCGGAGGAAACTGGTTCAAGTTGTAATAACTGGAATACATCTGACTGGATTGCGGCCCTTAACTGTTAATTTACCAGAGCTCTCACTTGTCTTTCTGTTAAAAATGTCTGAAATATTTACAAGTTGTTGCGCTGCTTAAGATGAGAATCATACTAGAATATGTTTCCATTCGACAAATGATTTAGAACTAAAGCTTTTTCATTTGCTGATTTTATTTTGTTATTTCTATGTATTTAGTTCTGCCACACTGCTTTTTTACAGCTCAACACAAGTGTGAAGGAAAAGAAATCTCAAGAAACATGAAAAATTGAAACTATGTTGAGAAAAAAATCCTACACTGCATGAATATTTTACCAAGCATACACACACATGTACCCACAAAGAAAGTGTGATGGGATTTTACATTTCCTGCCTGCAGCATTTGGAATATTTAAACAGCTTTTCATGTCTTCATGCATCTCACATCCACTGAATTTGCCACCTTCAAATGTTTCTCTGATGATAGTTACATCCTGCAGAATCTGACAGTGATGAGATATTAAAGACAAGTACAGGGTTTAAATCTTAACGTGATGATTATTTCCTCAGGCTCGTGTGTTTCTGTCTTCTTTGTGATGGACTGGCGACTTGCCTGGTACACTCCATCGTTCTCTTTGTTGCAGCTGAGTGAATTTTCATCCCACTTGTACAGAATAAAAAGAAAAGGAGAGATGTTGTCTATAAACAGAACACTTTGTGGAACATCTCTGTCTCCAACCAGGTTCTCTGTCTGTTTTTGCTGCAGAGCATGTTCATTAGAGTCAAGAAAAATTATCTATTTGATGATAAAGCTTATATTTACAAACAGTCAGGTTTTCTTATAATGTAGTGGTGCATAAATATTGCTGTGGTCCATCTGATCAAAGCAGAACGTTTTATTTTTCTGTGGGCATCATCTAGAGGTGGAAAAAATGTTGTACATCTTAAGCCACTCTCCCTTATACCGTGATTCAAATTGCATAGGACTCTATGGGACAGGGAAGTAGTGGGGTCAGCAAAAAGATAAACAAAAAATGAAGTATTGCCTACATTATATCACAGTACAGGTTAAGATTATCACTTTAACAGATTTCTTTGAAAAAAAAAGGGGGGAGGGGACCCCAGATTGCTGATTTAACATAAAACAGAGCAGTTTCCTGCTCCTCTGACCTACTGTTTGAAAGTGGGTTATGTTGTAAACAACCCCTCTGCAGCTTGCTATGGCTAATGCTAACAATGAGCTAACACTAACATTGTGATTTATTTTATATTCATTTTTTTGGTCAAAAAAGAGAAAAAAAAAAAATATATATATATATATATATATATATATATATATATATATATATATATATATATATATATATATATATATATCCATCCATCCATTTTCTGAACCCGCTTGTCCATGTAGTTACATAAAAGTACTCAATCACACAGCAACCGACAAAGAAATAGGCTGAAGCTCAGTAGTTTATAATAATTAGGATTAATCAAATCCTTAACCAAAACGTAAACATTGGTAAGTATATTACGGATCAATTAACTAGAAATCAATAATAAATTAGGACAAGGTATCAAATAAACACAAAGGTAGACGTCAAACCAAATTTCTATAATTCTAATTTTTTTAAGTCTTCTTGAAAAATGGCATAAAATAGCACATCTTTAATTCATCATTAAGTCCATTCCATAACTTCCCTCCCACAACTGACACATCTGTTCTTAGCATTGGCTCTCACTTTGGGTATTGCAATCACATAAGATTCCTCCAAAATATTATTACAACAAAGCCAGTTCATCATCAGTAAGTGACTTTGTAGCCTCCTTTAGCTCCTAGGGCTGGGCAATAAATAAAAAATGTATCATTATCGAAAGGGCTGCGCAGTGGTACGGTGGTTAGAGCTGTTGCCTTGCAGCAAGAAGGTCCTGGGTTTGCTTCCCGGCCTGGGATCTTTCTGCATGGAGTTTGCATGTTCTCCCTGTGCATGCTTGGGTTTTCTCCGGGTACTCCGGCTTCCTCCCACAGTCCAAAAACATGACTGTTAGGTTTATTGGTCTGTCTAAATTGTCCCTAGGTGTGTGTGTGTGTGTGTGTGTGTGTGTGTGTGTGTGTGTGTGTGTGTGTGTGTGTGTGTGTGTGTGTGTGTGTGTGTGTGTGTGTGTGTGTGTGTGTGTGTGTGTGTGTGTGTGTGTGTGTGTGTGTGCATGATTGATTGTCCTGTGTGTCTCTGTGTTGCCCTGCGATGGACTGGCTCTCTTTCCAGGGTGTATCCCGCCTGATTGCCCGTTGACCGCTGGAGATGGGCACCAGCGCGCGACCCTGCGTGGACAAGCGGGTTCAGAAAATGGATGGATGGATCATTATCGAAATGTCTGACTCTTATCGAGATATTTTTTCCATGTCAATAAATTTGCTAATTAAAAAAAATAAAGATGTGTGTAGGTTGGCAACATTCATTTTCCCTTTAAGAAGCTGTATCACCTTGAGTCACGTAAAACTGTGACTCAATGTAATACATGTGACAACCCCATCTAGTGGACAACTTTTGTTTCTGCATATACCTGTAGTTATTGTCTATTTATCGTTATCGAGCTGAAAACCTCAATATATCGTAATATTGATTTTAGGCCATATTGCCCCGCCCTATTAGCTCCTTTATACTGCTGTAGGCTGTGTCAATGTTCATGCTGGTTTTAACTTTTTGCCTCCAAAGACATTATTCTTTTATGTTTACTTCCAAGCTCCACCATGATGCCAACAGAAAATGCAAACTTTTTTTTCTTCTTGTGCTTTTTATTGACAATCAGCAAACAGACAATGCTAACTGCTAGCATTATAGCTAGCAGCTTTAAAGGACTACTACCCACTCCACAAAACTATCAAGTGCAATTTTTGGTCAGCAGAGAGCTGCAAAATGGTGTCACATATGAAACTGGTCAAGTTTCTAACCCAACAACTACTGAGATCAATGTAAAAAACTGTTGTTACTTTAAAAGATCAACAAGTTGTGGTTCAGAGATGCTATTCTGCAGCCCCTGGTTCTAAACAGTGGTTATCTGAGTTTCCTTTTTATCACCTAGAAACAGTCAAAAAAAAACCTAGAGGTGGTTGTGGATTAAATTCCCATTCCATCATTGGTTTTTGAAACATTCAGACCCACCTCTCTTTCACCAACAACCATGCCCTCTGCAAAGTCACTGAAACTGTCTTCCTTCATTATTCTGGTGCTCCTTCATCAAATCTTCTTCAAGACGTCTGTCTACATGCCGAAACTGAGTTGATCCCATGTTACAGGCTGACTAGTTATTTGTGTTAAAACACTGATTCAGGGAGCATACAGTAACACCTGGGCTGTGTATATTTACAAGAGTGATCAGTGATGACTACAGTGATAAAATATCAAAAGAAAAAAATAGCTTAAATGAGATCGTGAAGTGACAGGTTGCTTGAATTTAAAAAACAAGACATGAGGGAAAGGCTGACAGATGAGTGGAGTGAAGCACAGCTCAGAGGGAGTGGTGCAGAAAAGCAGGAGCAGCTTGTATGTGTCTGTGTGTTTAGAGAGCGAGAGAGTGTGTGTAAGGAGGGAAGAGAGAGTCAGAAATCCAGGAGAGTTTGCTCAAAGAAGGACAGATCTGAAACCTGGTGAGGAGAGGGGTGAGAGCAGCAGACGGAGATAGAGACTGGACGACAAGCTGACAAAATCTGAGTCGAGCGACGGACCATCACTCTTTGGGTAGTTTTACCAAGCTGGTTTCCACGGTGACAACATGGGTGCAGTGGTGGGCACTTTGACCATGCAAACCAAACAGAGAAGACCCTCAAGAGGTATGTCAACACTGGTCGGAAAGAGATTATAGAGAGCAAAAACCCTTCAGGATGACAAATTACATTAGAATTGACTCATATTTGTGTTTAAAAAAATATGTATTTATTCAAAGGAAAAATCAGCAAACATTCAGACAACCAGTTGCTCTGATTTGCGCTGCTGCAGAATAGGTTGATTCATAAATAAAAATTAAACATTTCCTCAATGAAGATGCTGCAGAACAGCTGAGGCTGAAGATGAATAGAATCTCTGAATGATGTGGAGGTATGATCTCTAACACATGCGCTGCTGAGTTGATGGTGAAACTAACAGGATGTCCTTGAAAATCAGCCTGTGATCACTTGTGAGCCTGCCAGTCAAACGTGTGTGTGTGTGTGTGTGTGTGTGTGCGTGCGTGCGCGCGCGTGCGTGTGTGTGTGTGTGTGAGAGAGAGAGAGAGAGAGAGAGAGAGAGAGAGAGAGAGAGAGAGAGAGAGAGAGAGAGAGAGGAGGGACACATGCAGCAAAGCGAGTTCAGCGGAGAGAATTAACACGCAGCTCACATATCATACCTCTCTCTGGCCTTATGCTTGAGAAGCCAGTTGTCATGGTGACTGGGTTGTAAAAGCACAAAGAGGAGGGCAAACACATGCATCGGTAGGGTGAAAAATCCTTTTTAGAGCAGCACATGATGGATATGTAAGAAATAAATAACTGCAAACAAAGTAGGTGGCAATTGCCAGCTGACACAAATAAAAGAGGGTTGTTTTGGGGGTTATTTCTGCTCACTGGAGAGCAAATCTCTTTTCCTATTTGGGGTTTTAAAGAAGTTTTTAACTGAACAGGTCATCTCACCATTTATTTTGTCCTCAATACTAATGTAGTCCATTGCAGAGTGTGTTGTTGTGCCAGCTATGCAGAATGGCAGGAGATAAGATTAGACGGATAAGACTTCATCCCCAGAAAACAGACAGCTGTTGGCTCCCTTGACACAAACACAAGCGCTCTACACCAGATCTGTCTGGTAGATAATCTATCAGGCTTCCAAGTGATCACAACAGATGTTGGCACAAAAATGCACAGAAGAGTGTCATGGTAGAAACAAAATAACTGGTGAAATCTGTTTACAAATTGCAACACAGTGTGCTGCAAAAATGGAAGTAGAAATCATTTATTTTCATCAATCATCAAAAAAGCCAAGGCATCACTCCCAGTTTTAGTTCTTAATGATTTGGCTGTATGTTTGGGATCACTCTCTTTGTATTTTGTAATTCATAAAATAAACTGAAAGCGTTCTTTGTTTACAGGATTTTTTCCACCCCCTGCCTAAAACCTCTGTACTGTACTGTATAATCACAAATATATGCTATACAAGCTAACACTCCATGTGAGCCTCAGCCATGTGAATCCTAGAGATAACGCTCCACTGCCTCTGTGGAGGAATCATCAAACAAGACTCAAGATAAAGTGCTCCAAGTGCAACTAAAACCTCTAACTTATCACTCAATTAAATCTCCAGACAGTGAGGCAATGCTAAGAGAGCGGGAGTGTTCAGGAACCTGGAGGTAGGGTCTTAATACTTCTTACTCTATCATGACAGGAAAGGGAATTAAAAAGGTAGTTGGCAGGGTGAGCCAAGCCATTTAAAACATTAAAGCTCATCCTTTTGTAAATTACTCTTTTAGATTTATTATTCTTTTTACAGAATGTGCAGGTTTGGGTGTTCAGTCAGTGAATTGGTCTTAAATTATTGACGAAATGGTGGAAAGCAGGTGAAGAGGTAGTTAGTTTGTTATATGCATAGTGTCTTATTTTTATCTCGTTGCAGATTAAATTAACACGTTCATTTGAACAGTCCATGGGGCGTGCACAACACAGGCCCTCTGTCAGAAACAAAGTCTGACAAAAACTATTTCCAAAGTATTAACAGAGCAGATCTACACAGTAAAGGGATTTATCAAATGTTGCTGACAGGAATTCTAATTAAACGTGAATGACTAGTCTTAATCATTTCATTTTATATTACAAAACAAACAGCACAACAGCCAAAATCAAGATGGTTTTAACACTAATTGTTTCATGACTTCTGATTTTTACTTGTTTAAGTATTATTTGGCATTAAGGTCTCTGATTACTACGACTATAAAAAGTAAACTTACCAGCACAGTCGATGAGGCAGTTCTACACCCCATAATCGAGTTCATCCTCACCTCCTCAATCACTGTGTGGTATGCTGGAGCTACCACCAGGGACAAAAAGAAGCTGCAGTGTGTCATGCGTTCTGCTGAGATGGTCATTGGCTGCAAACTCCCCTCCATAAAGGACCTGTACACCTCCAGGGCATTGAGGCATGCAGGTCCGGTCACAACTGACTCGTGTCACCCTGGACACAGTCTTTTTGACTCGCTCCCATCTGGCAGGAGGTTCCGATCCATTTGGACCAGAACCTCTTGCCACAAGAACAGTTTCTTCCCCTCTGAAGTTGGACTCATGAATGACAGTCCTAGGGATGCCCACTCCAGTCACTTGGTTTCAGTCACAGGACCCTGTGTTGTGTTTGTACCTGAACTGCTCCGCTCTGATCAACACCTACATTGTTTTTAGTCATTTCTCTAAGTATTGCTACTTTATAATATTATTTTATCATGATTATATTTTTACTTCTTATATTTGCTTATCTCTTATTTTTATCTTTCTATTTTTGCACCCAGTACCTCAGCAATATCGTAGTGGCCATCTGCCACCTTTGATGGCTCTCCATTCACCCACAGTGCATTCATTTTTACTGAGAAAGGTGCTTAGCCAACTAAAAAACAGACTTTCTCATGCTTCTTCACAAAACCAGACACATGGTATGGCATGATGAATAAAATATAAATATAATTAAACAAAATAAATGAAAACAAATTAAAATAGGAAATCCCATCAGGTAAGCTAGAAAAGTACTTACACTTGATCTTTTTTCAATAGTACATTGGTTGTTGCAACACTGCACAGAAACAAGCATAGTTGCTCACTCTGCATTGACTTTGCAGAGTGAGGTGACCCATCTAATATGGCTGCGACACTGTTACGCTCTCCAGCACCCAATGGGGCGTCTATGCAACTATGTCTGGTCAAGTAATAATCCAACATGGGGCGACGGTGGCCCAGGAGTTAAGTGATCGCCCCGTAATTGGAAAGTTGCTGGTTCGAGCCCCGCTCAGTCTGTCGCTGTCGTTGTGTCCTTGGGCAAGACACTTAACCCACGTTGCCTGCTGGTGGTGTTCGGAGGGACCGGTGGTGCCAGTGCTCGGCAGACTCGCCTCTGTCAGTGCGTCCCAGGGCAGCTGTGGCTACATCGTAGCTCATCCCCACCAGTGTGTGAATGTGTGTGTGAATGGGTGAATGACCGATTGTTTTGTAAAGCATCTTGGGGGGTTCCAGGACTCTAGAAGGTGCTATATAAAATACAGGCCATTTACCATTTACCAACATCCTTGGACAAGATTTTATGCTGGAAATTCCCATTTGGCTCATTTGTGCCACCAGTGTTTAAACTTGGAATTGCATCCACCTATAATCTGATCATCATGCAAAGGACAGATGAGCGACAGGACAGGGGCACTTCTAGGGGCCAGTCAAATTTCAACAGGGGCCAATGCCACTGTGGCTTCACCCCTTAATATCAGTCATCACTTGCATAAACCTCTACACTAGTGTCAATTTGGCATTACAAAGCTTGCTTGAACTATTTGCCACAACCACAACATCACCACCAAAGTGATGTTGTGAGTTCTGGTAACCTAAACCCATGACATTCTCTTGTTTTGAAGTGTTTGCTCCTCTCTGACCCCAAAATGATGACTGCAGTCAGAAAATGTCAGCAGTATTGTGTAAGAAACATGTGTCGCCATCCGCTGCTACAGGGGTTACCACTGACAGCATGATGGAGTTGTTACCCACCTCTAATTATCTCCTTCATGCCATCCTTTCCCTCACAGCAGGTGCTGATCAAGCCTTGTGTGCAGTGCAGCTGTTGCTGCAGCTAAAACGGGCCTCCTGCTGGAACACTGGAAGCTTTTGTATAAAAATCTGCAGAATTTGTCTGATTTGACTTTAAAAAACAAGTGCTCAGTCTTCCCGTTTTATTAAATTAAATTAAATTAAAATCTATTATTTTTAAAGTCTTACAAATATAGTGTGATTTTGAGTTTTGCCACATTTTGTTTATTTTTTCACACTCCTACTGCCTCCAATTTTCCTGTTTATCCATCCTTCAGCCACCCCGTAATCAGCACCTCTGCCTCTTTCCGTTTTCATGCCCTCATTTTATTTAATCTGTTTCATTCTCTAGGAATCAAAGCACCCTGGCAGAGTGTGTGTAAGCGTAGCAACACCTTTGTCATTTTATTATCCTGTCACATCCTGACATGTTTTGGTCCTGATGAAAACAAAATCGCACTGCGCACATTCATCATGGCTTTCTGTCTCCATGACAACAAGAGGTGGTGGGTTGGCAACCGGAGCTCAGGGGAAGATAGAGGATGAATTAGGGTATGATACTTGAGAACGGATGTTAAAATAGGAAGTGAAACCACAACTTTAATAATATCCAAAGCTGATGATTTGATGAAAGTGTAATGGATATGTGTGGCGATCTTTAGAGTCTTTATGATTTGATCTGATTATAATCATAGGGTTGTGCTGCAATTATGAAACAAGTATTGATGCACCTTAAAGCATCTTCACCTCCCCACTGTGAAGCTATTTGCTGCATTCGGTGCAAATTGTTTCAAAGACCCCCTAAATTACTTCTGTTAACTTATTATAAAAACAAAAACAAAATTTTCAGTTTAAAAAGCTCATTTCTGTAATGAAACAACTTTCATACAAAAAAATGTGGTGGACTTAATCTTATTTTGAATAATCTTTCTCTAGTACTTATCCTGCTCATCCTTTCTCCTACTTTACTGCACTTTTTTGAACTTTTGACACTGTTGACCATTACATGCCACCTGATAGATTGAGACACCGGGTCAGGAATTGGACTGGAGGGGTTCTCCTCTGTCTGAGCTTTCCTTTTATGTGTCTGTTTACAAATTTTTGTCCTCCTCCACCTCCCTGACCCATGGTGTTCCACAAGGTTCTGTTCTGAAGCTTCTATTGTTCCTTGTTTATCTGCTACCTCTCTTTCTTTTAAATAAATGTCCTACTATATTTATGCTGATGACATTCAGCTGTATATCTCAATTAAAGGTACACTTTCCAAGTTTGCCTTGCTGTTATCACCCCTAGAGTCCATTTTATTTAACTGTCATAAAAAAGAACTGCTGTACTCTTTCTCGCTGTGCATCCATGTTTGTAACACTGCTGAAATGTCTCCTCAACCTTCCTTAGTTTCTGCAGGAGCAGTTCATCATTAAATCGAACAAATCAGCTGCGTTTACAATTTAAAACATGCAGGAATCATGTGCTGGAAGCACAGTCCAGCGTTCATGTCATCTTGCCACTTTATTATTGACTAACAGAGTTCCTGATAAATTATGACCAACATTGAAGAAAATTCCTGAGAGGAGGAATCATGTGACAAAAGGGAAATTCTGTAGCATGTCAGCAAACCCAACTGTGGAAGTCAGAGCGCTGGGTGATAACAGATGTGTACACATGGCCTGACAACAGGACCGGTCGGCAGGGCCAGCTGGATGGCAGCTCAGCTCAGTAGCAGAAGGCTTTCCATAGCATGGATAGCTAGCCCAAAGATGCGCTGAGGATTCGATGGTGTGTGAGGATACCAGCAGTTTTGGTAGAGAAAGTGTCAATGACTGAGTGTTTGTCAAGTGAAAGGAGAGCTTATGTGGGTCTTACCCCTTCTCCACACAGAAACCATCAGCGGAGTGGAACGGTAGTGGAACGGTTTACTCGCGACTGGATGCTTCCAGTGTGAAGTAGGGGTCATGGCAAGAGTAGGGAACCCTGGTCCTTGAGTGCCGCCATCCAGCATGTTTTAGTTTTTTCCTGCTTCAACACAATTGATCCACTTGTTCAGCAGCTCATCTGGCTTTGTAGAAGCCTGTTAATCACCTGCTAATTAAAATTAGATGTGTTGAAGCAAGGAAACCTCTAAAACATGCTGGATGGTGGCTCTCTAGGACTGGAGTCTCCTACACCTGGGTTAGGATGAGTTTATGATCAGTGATGGAACAGGGCGTGATCACTACTACCTGGCAAACATATTTAGAAATAATAATGAGCACAGGGAAAGCAAAAACACGCACAAACAAAAAATATTTAAGTTGTACTTACAAGTGCAATAGGTCTGCAACCAATTAGAATCCTTATTTGTCTCATGATTCAGAAAACTACAAATGTTGACTCCCAGCCCTCACATATTTAAACCCTCTCAGCTCTGTGTGTGTCCTGGTCTCATGTTCTTTAATTTTTTTAGTTCCATCAGATAAATGCTTCTTTGGTTCTTCTTAGGGTAGAATGCCTTCTCTGGCTGAGGAGAGAGAAGTCTTGGTCTCTTGGCTTAGGCTGCTGCACCCGCGATCTGACTCTCGACAAGCGGTTGAAAATGGATGGATGGATGTTTCTTCTTAGGCTCCACCATGACTAACAGGTTACAATAAAAGCTAACCAGGTATAGCTTGTCTGCCCTGAGTTGTTAAAATGGATTGCCATAAAGTGTTACTACTTCTCCTCAAGATACGCGACCGTAATATTTCACGGTAGCGGTCTGGGGAGGGTGAAGTTGCAAGTGTGGTTTTCTGCTCAAAAGGAGGGGAGGGGGCTGAGTAGCTTTTCATTCATCCTGTAAAGGGTCATTGTAGCACAGTGGCATAATATGCCTTCAGAGGCTTTCTTGTAATTGCAATGGTAACAACGGCTCTCTTTCAAAAATAAAAAAATAATAACAAAAGGTCAAAATCTCCCATTTTTGATAATAGTCATACATAATACTACCGGCAGAAAATAAAACAATAAATAAGTGGACTGAATTTTGTTTACCCCATAAACAATCTGGGCGCTATACATCAGCACTTTAAAGTTCTGTCTTTTAAATTTCTTATAAATGTGTTAACTCCTAATCAGTAAAACCATGTTTAAAAAGCTTTAAATCAGTTCACAATTATTCATGTTCTTAAAAGTTAACTAGGAAGTTTTGGCTTGCTTTTAGCACCCTCTAGTTTCCATTTGTAGAATCGTAAGCAAAGCCTGTCTCCTTGTTGTGCATTCATCTTTTTAACACCTTAATTTAACAGGTAAAATGTCTCCCCAGACTTCATTAGTGTCTTAGTGGCTTTTCATTAACCCTGAAAAAGGGTCATTTTAGCACATACTGGCTCAAAAAAAGATAAAAAAACAAGAAAAAATTGCATAGTATCCCTTTAATGTGATGCGTGAAAAAGTTTTCTATCAGATTTATTCAAAACGACAAATTAAATGTGCGCTGGATGTTTAGCTGTGAGCGTCAACCTGCATACAAATCCTGTGACAGTGAAAAACGCTTACCCACAGCAGTCACCTCCTCAGATCATTAACCATCATCCGTCTCCACGGCACCCGATACTCAGCACCATCCTCCCATTAATAAAACGCTTCATCTCCTGTGGGGGCGAACCTCATTTTTCATGTGCATCGCTCTTCTTCCCGTCATCCTCATCCTTTTCCTTTTATCCTTCACCTCCCTTCTTTATTCTGCAGTCTAACCAGGTACTTGATGGGTTCTTCATGTTCTGGAAATTTGCTGAGCTGTCAGATTTTTCTGTAACCTATAGTTTATGGAACTGTGGAGAGAGAACAAGATGAAAAAGCAAAGCAGCGTAACGTGTGTTTTCTTTTCTATGTTTTTCCTCTCATACCAGATAAAACAGACGACGAGCTTGAGATGACCATGGTGTGTCACAGACCAGAAGGTCTCGATCAACTGGAAGCCCAAACTAACTTCAGCAAACAGGAGCTGCAAATCCTCTATCGTGGTTTTAAAAATGTATCTTTCACTATTTTGTTGCTTTAACATACCATATGATGCATTTTTCCTTCAGCAACAATAATAAATCCCAGTTTCCCCATCAGGAATGTCCAAGTGGAGTGGTAAATGAGGAGACGTTTAAACACATTTATGCACAGTTCTTCCCTCATGGAGGTAAAAAGCAGTTTACTACGAGCACATTTACACTCGGGTCAGCTCGGTCTGGCCCTTGTAGGGTCATTGCATATACACTGGCTTTTTTTTTTGTGCAGAGCCAACAGGTTTTTCAGCCCTGCTTCCCAGCAGTCTATTTTGTGCTGAGCTAACCCAAAACACCCATCTATGGACTGATCAGCTGGCTGAAGTTACATCTCTCACGCCTACCTATTATTGGGAGCCTCTGATTGGTACGGGTAGAATCAACCAGCGGCGGCTTCCTGAATGTGCGATTCTTTTAAAATCTGGTAAACGTCTTCTCTGATTGCAGCTCTGTCTGAGCTGCGGTTGCAATGCGAGGACTGACCATCTGTCGTGAGCGCTCAGGGATGGGAGAGGAGCTCATGGTTGCACCGCTGCTCGGTGAGAAGATTAGAAAGCTGTGTGCTTCATGTCAGAGCCTCCAAAAGCAACGCTTCTCATGCCTGCTTTTGTCTACTAACGTACGATGCTCCGGAAGGTCTCCAAAGCAGACCTGCCCATGTATTCGGCCAAGTCTGCGTTCCTGTAAAAACAACCTGGCTGATCAGACTAGCTGTCCTTACCTGCCCCGGGCCAAGCTGACCAAATTGTAAATGTGGTCATAATCTGTCATCTCTCTATGAAACATTTTGTAAACTTTAATGTATTCATACTGATTTTGCTTTTGTTGCAGATGCCAGCATGTACGCACATTATCTTTTCAATGCATTTGACACAACAAACAATGGCTCCATTAAGTTTAAGGTATAAAAAATGCAACATTCTCTTGTATTTGTCATAAATGTACAGTTATAGTTTATATACAATCATCCATGAGCTTCATTATAATAAAAGGCTTTTAATGATTGATTTGACCTATATTTTTCCATGGAGGAATAATTAGACAACTTCAAATATTTTCAAAGACAAGGAACAGGTGCACATTTAACTCTATGGTCAACCAGAGCAGTTATTTTTATGACCATCACAAAAACTAGCAGCAGATCTGTTCTCTGTGTAAAGCAATAGTGTTGCTGCATTTCTAACTACTTAGTGAATGAAAACTGTCCAATTTATTATATAGTTTTATCACATTACCCAAGCATGAGCAGGTTCTGAGTTTGGGATCATTGTCCTAACTTTATGCAAATGTCCTCATTCGTTGTCGCTCACTTCACTTGATGCAACACACATGGATACCACCGCATGATGTTACCACCACCGTGCTTGATTGTAGGTACATTAGTTTTAGGTTTGAAAGCCACACATAGACTCCTCAAAATGTATTCTTTATAACTAGGTTTTTTAATTTACATTTAAAGAGCAAGTCACCCTCTAGCAGAGTTTTACTCCAATCCCACTTCCTGTTTGAAAAATGCAAAAAATGCTGTTGCCTGGCAGAACAAAAGGGTGGAGCCACTAACAAATACACACACAGACTCACAATGACATTGTTGCATCATATGGTACCAGCTGATATCATAGGGTACCCCTTAGCCAGTAGCAATGGCATATTTAAATTCAAATGTAGCACAGTTTTTCCTGAAGAGGGCACAACTCTGACAGTTTTAGGCAGAATATTTAAAAGTTAACTAAAGTGCCAATTTATTGACTACACATGTCTACAGTGCGATTAGACACACATTTATCAGCAAAAAAAAATGTTGATTTGGGGGGTGACTTACTCTTTAAAGTCAAAATTAAACCCAAGAAAAAGAACGGGTTGAATCAGTAAGCTTCAAATTGACACACTGACATTCATGCCCAAGATGAGTGTTAGTACACCGTGGACCACAGCTGACGCAGCACTGCTATTGTTGACAGGACTTTGTGATGGGCCTATCTATTCTGCTGAGGGGCACTCTGAGGGAAAAGCTGGAGTGGACATTTCATCTTTATGACATTAACAGAGATGGATACATAAACAGAGAGGTGAGACTTTAGAGTTACGGACCGAGCTGTGTTTTTGTTACGGTTCTACATGAACGTTGTGTTTCTACAGGAGATGACAGAGATTGTGAGGGCTATTTATGACATGATGGGCAAGTACACCTACCCTGCGCTAAAGGGGGACGTCCCCCAGCAGCATGTGGATGCCTTTTTTCAGGTTCATTTCTAACAAATGAGATCACCATATTTCAACACTATGATTGCCTGCAACCCAACATTGACACTATCCAAAAGAATTTTTTTTATTTGTTTTGATCCTAGAAAATGGATAAGAATAAAGACGGAGTGGTGACACTGGAGGAGTTTATTATAGCCTGCCAGCAGGTAAGTGTTTTTCTTGTTTTTAATGTAAAAAAAGACATAAAATACATGAAGAACTGCACCAAAGAAAGACATTTTGTCCCTGATTAACTATTGTTGATTGAGTTTGAAAAGTTAACAGTGCTGACATTTAATAATTGAGTTAGTGTCCTTGTTTCAGCATAACTTGGTACTTTCAGAATTAACCCTTTGGATTTCATAGATTATCATAATTATAATTTGTGTTTTTTGAATACGTATAAAAGCTGCTTAGATTAAAACGTACCAACTAAGGACCTACAGTGGAAATATGCAAGGTGTCGTTGAAGGAAATGATTCAATCATAATGGGTTCAAACTAAACCAGCTGGCCTTTTTCTGACAGTTCTTAAAGATTTTTCAAATAAGTAATATTTAATAAAATCCAGTTAATCAATCCAATACGAAAAATTGGTAACGAACCAAACTTGAAAAGTGTAGAAAAAGCTTCTTTACCTATTCTTTGTAATAATAACAAAAACAAACTGCAGTTTAGCAGCTTGGAAAGCTGTACTTTTTATTTTGAGTTGATAGAACTACCCATGTGGAATAAGGAACATCTACCAATTAACTTTTACAAAGGTCAGCTACCTTTTGTTGAATATACTGAGATTAGTGGATACCTGAACATTCACCAGCAGAATTATCCAACATCTGAATTTGCACTTAATTTGGACTTCTCCAATTCACTGTCAAGTAAATGTTTGGTTCAACCTTCACCATTCAATTGTCAATAATTCCAAAGTAAAGAAAATATTAGGGCAGAGTACAGAGAAAATGTGAATCTTACAAATGCCCATATAAAGTTTAATGAGTTTCTCTTAAAAACACAAAAAATGTGCATACTCTCATATCTAACTAGTGAGACACAAAGTTGGCAGTATCATGGTGTAGTTAAGTTTTGTTGGCTTTTAAACATGTGATTGAATTAAAAAATGATTTATTGGTATGAAGGAATTGCAGGTTCTCAGTCACAAACCGTCGTCATCTTAGTTTTGCTTTGTTGCATCATCCCGTCAAACAAACCAATAGAGCGCTGTGATTGGCCAGCCACCAGTCTGGCCACAGGGTTTCCAGTGGAGCGTGGCTAGACTGACATTCAGAACAAAATCATTTTTGCTTTGACAACTGACGGTCGAGATTTCAAGGCTGCTTGTTTTATTTATGTTTTTGAACACTTATCTGCAGAAATACAAAAACATTTTAGTTTGGGACCTCCTGACCCATCTGACTTTTATAATTGACCCCATAGGCAGTAGTATACTGTATGTCCCATTGATGGAGCATACCATTTCTCTCGCTCTCTCCAGGATGAAAACATGATGAGATCCATGCAGCTGTTTGAAAATGTGATGTAGGACAAGTTGGAAACAAGAAGATCGAAACATGGAAATGACAGGGCTTGGTCTGAGTGTGTGTGCGAGTGTGTGTGCATGGGTGCATATGTGCAGTACCTCCAGTCCCTCCTCTTCTTCCTGTTGGGTCCAGCTGAGCGCTGGATACAACCAATGACACTAATAAAAGGACTGGAGTGGAACACGTTTAGCCTTCCTGCGGAGTTCCACACACAACACAGCAAACCTTCTGACGGGCTTGGACGTCGACACTTCTGTTTGCAGCAGAGCGATGACAAAGATCAGACTTTTAAAGATGAAGATGTTCCTACATTACAAAGCTGCTCCAGATCTTAGACGAGCCATGAGTTCAAGAAGCTACAATATTTGTTTTTGCTGTCTTTATTTTCCCTTTTTATTTCTCAAAAATACCTGCATAGATTTCAAAGAGTTTTTTTATCTTCAAATATTTGCTTGACCATGAAGACATATGTTTCTTCATTAGCTTAAACGCCTGACAGTGTTGAAAAGTTCGCTATCCATTCCTCTGATTTGGTGATTCATACTTTTGCGTTGAGTCCGTCTCACATCTTTACGATTTGTGCTCGTACATGTCATGCTTACAGAATGAGAAAAGACTTAAAGGTGGGTCTTTGCTGTGATTACATTGTCTTTTTGTGCTTTAGCATTAAAAAAAGGGCATTCTCATAAAATCCCATAGTTGTCGAGTAGCTCTGTTAAGATTGTGCAAAAATAAATTCGGCAAGATGTTCAAAGCAACATATTTGCAGTACTGACGGGTAATTAAATGTCTTAGACATTTGAAACATGTTTATTGAATTTTCTGAAGAAAATTCCATAAAGTCATGTTTGGATTGTGATGTAATACAACAGTTCTAATGATTATGAACTATTTTGTGCAAATTGGAACATCAATGCATATAAAGTTCAGACAGATGAAGGTTCCTGTGGTTCCCCGCAGATCGGTGCATGTTTAAAAGCACCATTACAGAAAACTTGCTGGGATATAGAATTTTTAACACTGAAATATTTATTATTGTTCTTTTTGCAGCCAGAGCAGAGCAGCTCTATGCTATGTGGCACGTTCTTGTGTAAACCAGGATGTCTAGTTTCTTTGGTGGAAACGGTCGTTCTGTTGGAATGAAAAAAATATGCAGAAAGTCATTTGAAGCCACAATAATAAATATTTAAATTGTTCAACTTGATTCTGTTTCATTTTACATGTCTGTCTGGTTTATGAGAGGGAGTTAGAAGACAACAAAGGTTTTGTAGCTCACCCCCACCAGCGTGTGAATGTGTGTGAATGTGTGTGTTGTGTTTTGAAGCACCATGGGGGTTGTAGAACCCTAAGAAGGCACTATACAAATACAGGCCATTTATCATTTACCATAATCAAGCATGTCAGAGATAAAATTGACTGTATTTGATAGGGCACCATATAAGGTTCTACAACCCCCAAGGTGCTTTACAGCCAACCAGTCATACAGCCATGCACACATACATTCACACACTGTTAGTAATGAGCCACATCTGACACAGGACACACTGACGTAGGCGAGGCCACCAAACACTGGCACGACATTCCCTTCTGTATTGGAGTGGGGGTTATACAGCACACTGATTACAGCATCCATTTTACTTAGAAAAAAATAATTATTAATTATGCCTTAATATCACTTTTTTCTCTAGAGCAGACCTGGAGTCTTCAAAAAACATGAACTAATCTAAAAGGAATGTGATACTTTCTTTTTTAACATGGCCAAGATTACATTTGTCTAAAGCAATTACACGCTTTATTCCACTAGGTGGCGGCAACTCGACTTTATAGCAGTGGCACAACAGCAGTAGCAGGAACTGGCCTTTAGGGGGCAGAGTGGAACCTTTAAGTTTCCTTTTCAACGGAGAAGAAGAGCAGGAACAGCAGCACGTTTGTTCAGTTAGCTGTACATTTCATTTGCGGCACAATCAAAGTAAGCTAGTTGCTGGTTGTAAAAACCATAATTTAACAAAATGAACGGAGTGAACGACGAACAAATGGCACCCCAAACATTTCTTTACGGTGAGACAATATTTTAAGCTTGTGTCCTTCGCGTTTTTAATACTACTGCGTTTTGAAAATTGCTAGTGAGGACAAGAGACTGATCTTTAGGCTAATGTTAGCTACACGCTGCAGTAAACCCTGGTTAAATGTAGATGTAACCTGGCTAATTAAGAAACACGAGCGAGCTTTTAGGAAGTATTGTTGCAGGAGGTTTGATCGAGTTCTGGTGAACGACTCGGATTATTTGTCACACACGTGGTCTCAACATGGCTGCACTCGTGTTACATTAACGGGACAATATCTGTGAATGTGTCTTTTGAACGCACACAAATTGATGCTTAGCTAGATGTTGAAACACCAAAATGTACTGCTTACTGAATACAAATGATCGATTAAAGAAAAAGTCACTTTTTGGTCTAGAAAGTCAGCTCAACGTGGCTTGTGGGACACGCGCTGCCTCCCATCTTGAGCTTCCATCCTCGTGGGCCTAATGTAGCGTCTGAAATCATGTTGGACTAGTTTAATCATCTAAATATGTGTAACATCACCATCTGCTGCACTGATTCCTGTTTACTGCTGTAAATCCTGATCCTTAAGTAAATTTTCAAAGGTCACAAATTAATAAAACGGTTTGCTCCCTAATATTTTATTAAGTTTGACACGATTTGTTTATTTAATCTGGTCTGCTTTTGACCAGCGTTTGTAATTCAGTATTTTCATGTTTTACTAAATGTTGAGAATCTTATTAAAACTATTTTACAGGTATCACTCTAACGCCCCCAAAGTGTTAGCACATTAAAGCACAATCTCTAAAATATTTTTTCTTTCATTTTTATTTTTGGTTTTATGATTTAGTTTTTGGGCTGACTCCATTCTTCTTTCTTTAGGTTATTTCTCCACGTGTTGTGCTTTTCCATTTCAGTAGTTAGAGCTCCCTCCTGTGCTTAGTTTGAGAATGGCTCAGAAATTACGTCATGGCTTTCAGGTCCTGCCTGACTGAGTCATTTAGTTGCTCTAAATTTGAATGTAGTTTATATAAAAGTGTGCAGCTTTAGTCCAGATTAAATTAACTGATAGGGCTGTCGCGGTAACCGGAAAAATGAAATATCGCAATATGAAGAAGCCCACCGCGCTGCATCATGGGCCACTGCGATTACTGAACTTGGTTCAACTCAATGATGCATGTTGAGAAGGATGGCTGCGCTGGTATCAAAACGAAACGTTACTTCGCTCCTTTGGGAGCACTTTGGTTTTCAGTACGTCAGCTGCTGCTCAGCCAGAGTCCTTGGCCGAGACAGAGCTGCCACCAGCGGCAAAAAAATAATAATAAACGCTCGGAGACCTGCTGAAGTCCCGGACAAGCACTGCTTCTGCAACCGTCCCGAAGAGAGCTTGAGCCGAGCTGGAGCTCACTCGCTACCTGCAGGAGGAATGCATCCACCCTAAAGAAACCCCCCTGACATGGTGGAGCAACAACCGGGAGAGATTCCCTTTGCTCGCCAGAGTCGCACGCAAGTACGTGTGCGTTAGTGCAAGGAGCGCACCATCCGAGAGGGTTTTCAGTGTTGCTGGAAATGTTGCCACCCCTCTCAGATCCTCTCTAAAACCGTATATGGTTAACATGCTGGTTTTCCTTGTAGGTAACAAGGACGTGACCGAGCTATAAATCACCGTCATTTGTGTGTGTGAAAGTGAAATGATAGTGCAAAGCCCCCCCCCCCCCCCCCCCCGGCGCGTGCGCGCCCGGTACATGTAATTTTTTATGCTTGATTTTAAACAACTAAACAAAATGGGGACTTGTTTCTTATTTGTTGGATGCTGCAGCCAAATTTGCATTTAAAAGTTTAACCTTCTCCTGAATTTTGTTGTTTTTAAGTTCAGTCGGACTCCGACTGTCGGAGAAACAAACGTTACTGTGATCTGTGTTGTTACTGCCCTTTGATCTGCATTCAGTAAAGTGTTATTAAAGAAGGCACGGCAATTTTTAACCTTTTTTAAATGTGTAAACATTATGTTTAGATAGTACTGCAATAAAAAAAGGACTGCAATAATATCGCACACCGCAATATTAAGCCACCCTGAATCACCGCAGGAGGAATTCCTCAACCGCGACAGCCCTATTAACTGATCCATTCTCATCAGGGTGTGTGCTGGAATCTGGAAAGGAGGGGCACTTCAATCCTGAGGATGACGAGTTGGAGCATCAGCTTGATCTGAGGATGGTACGTTAAAACGATGTTGTAATGGGTTAAAGTTGTTTGGTATAATCTAAATTTATATTTAAAATTTGATAACAAGCAAATGAAAAATTACTGGTGCTGCTCGAGGCTGTGTAAATTTGTAAATGTATTGCATTTCTTTTAAATTGTCCTGATATTTTCTGTTTCAAAACAATTCTAACATTTTCCCACTGGATTTTTTCTTATTTTTATGAATTATTTGTAAATATACTATGAAAGACACGGATGTCCAACAACTGAAACATAAAACTTATAAATATTTCTGAAGGGAGAGTTTAAATAATCAAATCCATCAGAAGCAGCCTCATCAGCTTTGATGGTTGTGATTCACTGTTTTTGCTGCAGAAGATTCTGCAGTTTCGCTGTTGAATTGGTAAGGTTTTCCATCCAAAGCAGCCTAGGGTCAGCAAGTCAGAGTTCTATAATTCATAGCTTCTTTTTCACTGGGAGGAAAAGCCCACTGTAAGCACTCCTCTGGACTCCATATTGATCATGGATGAAGAGTTCACAGCTTGTTGCTGGTACCAAAACCTAGATGGACTAGACAGATGTATCTACATAATGTGGTCTGTTGTTTGTAGAGTTAACCGTTTTGCAAAGAAGTCTTGCAGCTTTTCAAGCTAATTGTCTTTTAGCTTGAGGGGTAAAGCAGCTCGTCTATGCAGTCAGCAGCGGTTTGTGTAAACCTAGCAGTACTCGGTCATCCTCTTGCTCTTGCAGGCCTGTGTGGACCCTAGCACAAAAGATGAACTGCACACAGTGGAGGTGGAAGGACGCGACGCAGAGGGTCAAGTGGTCAAAGCGACTCTAGTTACACTCAAGCCCTCTACCCTGCCAAGTGTGAGTATCAGTCAGCTTTAGCTAATCTGTTTCTGCAGTCAAGTCTGTCATCTCACTGGGCTGCATCTCTGACAGGAATGTGAGAAAGTTTCTATTAAAACTACACTAAATTATTGCATTTTAGTCAGATGTTTTATTAGTGAGTTTCATGTGACAGCAGTGCCCCGACCATGTTGGCATCATGAATGGGTCTCCTACAAGTTGTTTGTGTCAAATGTAATAAAGCACAATGAACACGTGACCCATCCGTGGACATTTTAGAACCCTTACAAATGTTGTAGGACATACAAAGTCCCTCATGGGTGTTGGCATAGTGAGACGACAGAGCCTCTCCACCAGACAATATGTGCGTTTACATGCACATCAGTAAAACAAGGCATTACCTTAAATAGACTTGTGTTGGTTTGTTGCATGTAAACGCATTAGTCTGGCTGAGGGCGGGCTGGTTCTAATCGAGCTGAATGACCTTTTACTCAGCAGATGCCTCGCTCTGTGCGCCTGATTTTCACTGAGTTTTCCGCCTCGCGAGACACTGGGGTGAAGATCTTACCGGTTTGATATTTTCCGTCTAATGGGTAGGGTTGGGCATCGATTGGAACCAGTTCCAACTGTTAGTTTTTCCCGGAATTGTTGAGTTTTTTATTTTGATTCCTAGCATGCCGACCGGAAGAGGAATCCGCAGCGATCTCCGTGGAAAAACAAGCGCGATCTGCACATTTTGACCAAGGCTTTTCAGAGCTAATCACACCAGCTGTCTGTGTGCAGCCCCGAGTCCCCCCACCCGGCGCGCAGCGGCCAAACATAAACAAACGCGTCTGCCGAGCTTTTACTCCGCGGTGTAAACTTTAACTCCAGCAGCGTAGAGGACACGTGTTAAAATATGTCAACACGGTGGATTTCATAGAAGCTTGAAAGAACAAACTCTGGACGCTGTGAGGTGAGTTTCTCACTGCAGAAATAAAAACACGGAGCGCCAGCAAGTCCGACGCATCCAGCTACATTTGAGTTTCACTTTCTGTTCTGACTGAATGCTGCTGCAGCATAGAGGTGTAGTTCTCAGTCATCCTGGACATGATCGTCCTGAGAGTTTTAGCTGAAGACCACTGGACGTTTCTGCATGTGTTGGAGACATTTAGCCTCTCATCCCAGAGGTTTCTTCCAGACTTTGGTTGTGGTCAGAAACAAACACACTGGTTGTGTTGCAAGTCTTTTTCTTTTTTTCTCCAAAACATGTTTCTGTCTAAATGAAGGTGATGTTGTTGTTCATAGAATTAAAATTCATGTTAAAGTTAAGATTATTTCATCAAGTAGGACCTGTGGTTAGCTGGCTCATGTAAAATATGTCATGCCCCTTATGCATCTGGTAGTAAGGCTTTCTGCAGCGTGGCAAAACCTCTCTGACCCTGGTTGTGTGTGTCTGTGGAACACGCGTGTTAAACTTTTTCATCATGTGGTGTTTCTGTAGGTGTGTCTTGGTGGATTCACCATCACACCCCCAGCAGTGTTTCGTCTGAAGGCTGGTTCCGGTCCGGTGCACCTCAGTGGACAACACCTCATCAGTGAGTATTTTTGTTTTTCTAACATCTGCTTATTTTATAGCTCAGATTAAAAGTTTCTGAAAGTAAAAACAGTTGATGGGAAATTCCAGTGTTTTGTTTTTATTTTAAACTCTTATTTCAAAATTGCTCTTAGTGATGGAGACAGGTCAGTCTTTTGATGAAAGTGAGGAGGAGGAGGAGGAAGAAGAGGAGGAGGAAGTGAAACCATCAAAGAAAAGGCAGGCTACATCTCCTGCTCCAAAATCCCAGGTGTGTTCAGGTTTGGAGACTTTCTACTAAATGTTTATCCCCGTGTGACTAACGACCGCCTACTGCTGATCTTCCTACAGAAGAAGATTAAAATGGATGTGACTGTGGAGGAGGAGGAGGAAGATGATGATGAGTAAGTGTTGGGTCTTTTCCTATTACTAATAGCACACCTGTTTTAGAATCAATATTTTAGCTCAAAGTGACGTTTGTGGAACAATTTAACAGGATTTATGGGAGCTGGTGAGTGTATCTCTGAATGATCAGCTGTTTCATGGAGTATAGTGATGATGTTAGAAAATATTAGAAGCCTTTCAAATGTCCCAAATTACACACCGTAGTGAGACATCACCAGCTAATTGCTAGCCTTCATTTTGAGCTGTCGGCACTGTAGATGGTGTTGTAAAGCAGGTAGACCTCCCACCTACCCGAACCACAAGACTAAGTGCAGTTACTGAACAGCAGGGGGCAGCAGAGTTGTGTGGAGTTGGGTTGCTTATGTTTCTATCTAGAATCACTGAAACCAGTGTCTAATTAAGTTTAGCGTGTTAAAAACCGATAGGTGCATCAAAAGCTTGTCCTTTATGGAATGCAAATCGCCCAATATTAACCAGTTCTTCATCTGAGTTTCCTTCTGTTTTTTTAGGGATGAGGAGGAAGAGAGTGAGGCTGAGGAATCGCCTGTCAAGGTGAACAGAAACTAAATATTTGGGAGTTTAACTAATGAATTTGATTCCTAAGTGATTATTTTTATTTTTAGGCCAAACCAACACCAACCAAACCAAAGACCCCGACTCAGAACGGCAAGAGCTCTGCACCCAGTACTCCAACTTCAGGGCAGGTTAGGCGGCCTCCTCAAACACACCTTTTACAGCAACGCTTGTTTACCTGCTGCTAATATGCTTTTGTCTGTTTGTAGAAGACCCCCAAGGGCAAAGGAGAGAAGAAAAGCCCAGCCACTCCTAAAGCCAATCTGTCGCTTTCTGAGATTAAGGCCAAGATGTTGGAGTCGGTGAAAAAGGTTTGTCGTTTATTCATAGTTTTAAACAGGTTTGTTTGTAGTTGGGTAATAAAATTCTATTTGCTTATTGGTTTTTGTGTTTTTAGGGTGTTTCGTTACCCAAAGTTCAGGCCAAGTTTGAGAACTTCTGTAAGCACGGTCAAAACGTGACAGATTCCAAGGTAAACCTCAACCGTCCTCACTTCACTTAGTTTCATGCATCGGTTAGAGGCCTGTTGGACGTGTGAGTGTGATTGGAGACAACTCTTGACGACTCAGTGCAATAAAAACCTTTGTTCAGTCTGTCCGGTTGGTTCATGCTTTCATCACATCTCGCCTGGACCTTTGTGATTTATCATGTTTGGGTTTACCTCAGTCGACACTCATGCATCCGTGCACAGGGATAAAAAGCATGATCGTGCCATCTTGGCCTCCAGTCTGCAAAATGTTCCAGTTCAAATTTTACTGTTGGTTACGTCAGAATGGGTGTTTGAGAGCCTTACTGGCCTTAAGTGTTGCTGCTTCAGCTATAATGCTTTGGTTTAATTTTGAATCCCTTCAGAGCCAAATAAATGGGTAAGGAGGAAGAAGAGAGGTGGGGGAGAAAAGTTACCCAAAACAAACACAAGAGGGACAAGTCCACTTCTGACATAAGGGTGCCCAGGCACCGGTGGAGGCCCAGAAAAGCCCTAGGGCCCAGACCCCCAGCAGGAGCGAGCCAGCAGATGCCCTGGCATGCATGCACACCTTGTGAAGCAAACTGCCCCTAATCTAATCCGACTGTTGGGCCTTTTTAATTCCTGCTCAAGATTCATGTGTCCTCGCCGACTTTTACGGTCACATAGACCTTTTAATGCACTGGTTGTTGGTGCGTGCTGTTGATCTATTTTATTTTTATTGTTTTGACTGCTCTGTGCATGTTTTCTTTAAGATTACTTCATTGTAATGTTTATTTTGGCGTTCCTGCTTTATTAGCACTCATGGTCAGGACAACAAGGTTTTTAAAGTTAAATAAAATGTGACTCTAGGAATTACTTTTAAATACCACCAGGTGTCAACAAAGTCAAACTTTAAAAAGTGTGTGGACTTAAGTTTAAGAATATAAAATGATGCTTATCCTGTTGTGCTAACAAAGTTAGGCTGATGACACATTTTCTCACCACCTTATTTACAGCTGATTGGTTTTTCTTACAGGTCATCTCAGAGCTGTGGAAGTGGCGACAGACGCTGAAGGACGAGAAATAATAAACTCCATAGTTTTATTTTTTTGTGACTCAAGCATCCCTGAAGCCTAATTCTGTGCCTAATTCTGTTTCCATTCAGTTATTCGGCCCCTCTGAATGAAAACGTGAGGTGGTGTTGGAGGGTCACGGTGCACTGTTGGCATGTTATACACCTCCATCACCCACTCATGACAGATGGTCACAGGATAGTGTATTTGTTCATTCTTGTTGCAATCGGTTTCTTTTTGTCTGATTTTATTGTAGAACAATACAATCCTGTCACCTCATCACCAACCATCAAACAAATTATCACCGAAGTCCTACATCAACAACCAAGATTGTTTTAAGTTTAAAGTCAGCCGTCCAAATCCAACAAGTCTTGTTTGCTTTGTTTTTTTTTTTTAATGGTTCTAAAGTAAAACGGCCAGCATGTTTCTGCTCCGTTAGACCTGTTTGCTTTGTGTTGTCACCACTGGTCGCCTGAGGGCAAAGGTTATGTATCATGAAAGGTATGAAGGGAGTATGCAAATAACTTGTGTAATCTTAGGAATTTGTCAGCTTCATATTAAAGGTTCAAACTAAGCTCATTTGACTGGTTGGATTCAAATCTTGAGTGTATGAAGCCTATCGGTTAGACCATTCCATACTGTCAGCTCAAGTGTCCAGACATGGATTTTAAATGCATCGAGTTTGGTCTGTTATACATCTGAAATGTTCTGTGTCTCTGAATAAAGCGTTCAAATTTACCCAGTGTTTTATACGCCTATTAAAAGCTCATGAACTGAAAATTGTCTCAAAGGCTTACTGAACAGTATTAAACCCAACAGTTCTGTTTATCTTCTGGTAATGATGGACCTGATTTAAACTAGAACTGTTTTGGAAGTGTACCTTTGAACCTAAATGGGGTTGAGGGCCGTTTTAAGAACCTAACAATAATTCACATATACCCATTTGGCCCTCAAAAGGCTTCCATTCCTACCTGGGCGGTCTAAACCAGGTATAACTAATGCAGTGTCATGTTAGGCAAAATATTTCTATCTCCAACAGCGGGCATACAGTATGTCGTGGTCAAACACCCGCACAGTGGTTGAACATCAGCTACTTTTGGGATAACAAGTGTCCAGATCCTATAAAGGGGAAAAGAGTCGAGCTGTTGTGGTTGTGTGTATTCTTTTATTACTGTCCATCAGAAAAGTTATCTGGATTAATTCAAAATAAATTAAACCCAGGCCGGCAAGAGAAAACTTCAGGGCATTGGGAGACATTTCAGAGGTGTTAATTATTCAAAAAAAAAAAAAGACTGATACTTGCAATGTACCTGTATGTGTAAGCACCTTCTGGTTCTACAAATCCCCACGGGGCTTCACAACACAATCATTCACACTCTGGTGAAGATGAGCTACAGTGTAGCCACAGCTGACGTGGGCAAGGCCTGCTATACACCGGTGCCACCAGTTCCTCCAACCTCCACTAGCAGACAAGGACACAACAGTATTTAATGGTGGGAGCTGGGATTGAACCTGCAACCTTCTGGACAACAGCTGTACCTCCTGAGCCACTGTTGTCCCTTGAGGACAAATAATGGCTATAGTGATAGAACATAGCCACCACCAGCATCACCTAACATGCTGATTATTTGTGATTTGCTAACACCGTTGATATTTTGGTTGCTGTGTCTATAGAAGGCTATATTCCAACTTGGGAAGGTGCTATGCGAAGCACAGGCCATCTAAGCTTTTCTATAACGTCCCACACTTTTGTTACCTGACTGAGTACACACCTATAAAATGTTATATGATCAAAGGTCACAAAAGGCTGATTTTATGCAGCCGGTACAAACTTGTGTTGGTTCCACCTATGTTCCACTTACTTTGCAACTAAATACCAAGAAAGAGATCGAGTTAATGTGAATGACTCTGGTGTTGGAATATTAAACAGCTTTAATCTCTGAACTGTATGAAATGAAGTTGTCCACTGCCTCTTACAGTACCTAACTTCTCCACCCACATGACACTCCAGGGGTTATTCCTTCAAACCCTTTTTCTTCTTCAAAGTCTTTCTTGAACAGTAATGACTCTTCCAGTAACATGACATTTATAGTCAACGAGCAGTAAATGAATAGGCACGTATTTATGACCAACATTCAGTAGCACCAAAGTGTAGGCCTAGTGCCACGCCCTGCTGATTAGGTTTGATTAAACAGATTTGTGGTCGGGGAGGGGACAATGAGAAAAATGCTCATTTCTCTACTAGTAAAAAACTGTTCATGGAGAATTTTTGTAAAACACACATTGCGCTGTAGCCCTAACTGAGATAAACATAGCTTATGTTGACCAGAGAAAAAGCTAAGCAGATTAAATTCCAGGCCATTTTATTGGTGTTCATTTACACCTGGGGCAAGATGGCTGACAGCCAGAATGCTTTTGCCTGCAGGTGATCAGAAATCAGAGTCTGTTCAGCAGCCATTTGCAATGACTTTAGTCCTAGGAAACTAACACCCAAATCAAGGCCAAAGTGAAGTTGAGAAATAAAAGATTCTTTAAACACTTTCAAAACCCAGTTTTGTAAATTTTATTTTATGTACAACATACATCACAATTTAAAACGTATAGAAAAAAAAACATAAAAACACTAACACAAGCTAAGCCAATTCACACATAAAAAATGTCAGACTCAAGATCATAATCTTCACAATCTCATGAGTCAGCAAAAACATTGGCAAACAGGTGTGTTAAATTTGACTAAATTGAAAAACTGCAGTGGGTCTGTTGAATTTCCATAAAACAAAGCTACAAATGCCAGTACAGCTAAAAACATGTGTTCCGTAGGCCGTTTCATTATTGATGCACTGTAACATGCAGCATGTGAAGAGCACCTTCTACACAAAAAGCAGGCTTCACATAAATTAATTTAGTGCTTTACAGTTTTCAGCCTTGTGCCAATTTCACTGGACAAGCCCTTCCAGACATGGCAGGAACAATTAGCTCTGTAGTAAGCCACAGTTTAAAAATGGAACATGTTTTTTAACCTTTTACAGTAACATCAATAGAAACTAAAAGATCATTTTAAAAAAGGAAACATCGTCTTCAATGGATACACTTTTTTTAATATCTGGATTTAACCAAGTGGATTATTAAAAATGTTCCTTTAAATTGCAACAGACTCCTGTCCTGTTCAAACATAATCCGTTTTGGTGCTTGGGGGTTTGGTGGACACTGGATACTTGGCTCGAGGTGTAGATTTATTCCTTGGGCAGGAATGTGACAACATGCATCCTCCCACAAGAGTCAGGAATGCTCCAGCCCAGGCGATGAAAATGGCAGCGCCAAATTCGTACCTTCACAAGAAAAGTAAAAATCAGATCAGAATAAAATAGCTTAAAACTGTACATCATTCCAACTGATGCAGTACTTACTTTGTATTTACGGGGGTGAAAGGGTCATAAAAAGCTCGGACGATGTCATTGGTATACCAACCGCAAGCAATGAGTGAAGCAAGAGCTGCAGAGAAAACGATCATCACTAATCTGAGCAACATAAATGGTTTCTACGATGACCGACTTCAGTAGACACTTTAAAAATGAGAAATACGAGTCAACAATTCCAACCTCCAACTAATATGATGATGCCACCAGTCAATGCAATGCGGGCCTTGCGCGTCTTGTCATCTCCTCCACAGGTGGTGCACTTCATTCCCATGCTGGCTACACCCATACCAGCCAGAGAAACGATGATGCTCACAACCATGAGGGCGCGGGTGGCCTGAAGGGCAGCTGGAGAGGTAAACAGAACAGAATTAATCCACCCATTAGTCACACAATCAGTGGTTATTAATCTGTACAAAAGATGCATTTAAAACGTCTTGTTGTGGTCGTTAGGTGCCACCATTAGGATTGGAAGAATACTCCATTAGGACTGAGCAGTCTTCGTTACACCTAAACACACCAGAAACCGGCTCCAGCCAGAAGAAATAAGTGGGGGGAGGGTGTGTGTGTGTGTGTGTGTGTGTATGCACAGAGCCTGAAAACAGGTCTAACCAGGTTTCAGGTTTCATCACTAGCATTGGCACTCCCAGTTCCTGCTACTCTCAGTCCACTTTTTAACAAGCTGGAAGCATAGTTGAAAACCAAGTGGACTGAAAGTCCACCAGAACTCAAAAATCTAAAGATCTTTATTCTGAACTTTCATCTAGATGTTCCAGCAGGTGAAGAGATCCAAAGGGTAATGCACATGGATTGGAAAACTGTACAAGGAAGTACATAACAGTTTCCCCCCAGGCAACAAACGTTCAAGGGCAATGAACACCCAACTACCCATTAAAGTCATTGAGATTAAGATAAATGAATTTAAAAATCTAAATCTGCATTAATTTCATTTTTTCCAGAAAGTTTAATATATTTTAAATCAACTTCCTATGGTACCACAAATTCCAAAATGCATTCAATGAATTGCAATAATGTTCTCTACCAAAGGCCTCTTTTACAAAGCCCTGATAATGGTGGTGTGTGTGTGTGTGTGTGACCGGTTGGTTAACGGCTTCCACTAGGGTTTAACCTTTAACTACATGCGCCTTGTAATGAGAAAATATGGAGATGTCCACAGACGGGGGAGTAGGACTGCAGGACAATGGCCACCAGATCAAATCTACCAAGGCTTTAACCAAACAGTTCAGCTTTTCAAAGAAAAAACTTTAATATCTTAAAGTCTATGGCTCTAGGCCGTTTGCTTAGTGAACAAACTTTTTCCAGGTGATTTAAGAGGGAACAAAAAACCTGTTCTTCCTGTATGACTGTAGGCGTCAGTTAAAAAAAACATGGCGGATATAAAAGACACCTGCGTTCTAACAGGTGTCCCTAATTACCTAATTCCATCGCTTGTAAGAGCGCACACCTGTGTGGAACCAATCAATTAAATGCGAGCCCAAACTTTAAACAACGTTTAAAGCAAAAAAGGCAATAACTAGAGCAATTTAATTAGGACTAAACGACAACAGGTTGAAGGGGGAGGGGAATACTTATAAAAAACAAAAACAATGAGCCTTTCCTAGAAGAGCCAAGCCCAGAGAATGTCAGATCAGGGTTTGGGTTACCATTTCTTTGTACTTACAGTTGAGTTGAAGGATGGAGTCGTACACTTTGCACTGCATTTGTCCGGTGCTCTGGAAGGCACAAGTCATCCACAGCCCCTCATACATGGACACCGCGGTGATGATGTTGGACCCAATAAAAGCGGACATCTTCCACTGAGGAAGAATGGTCCCGACTATCAACGCGATCGCTCCCAAAAGAGCCAGTGCGAATCCCAGCATCTGAAGACCGGAGTTGGCCATTTTCTACTTCTGCTGCTGTTTCTAATCAACAAAGAGCCGGCGTCCTTCTACTGCGATATATCAAAAATCCTTCTGCTTTCCGGTTGCAGTTGACAAAGTTCACTCCTTGATAGGAATAACGCGCGCGTCCCGCCGGGTGCTGAAAGTAAAATGACCCAGAACACAGTCGGCCTCTGTTTAAAAGATCTCTCGGTGGACCTCTGCGCACCTGTTGCTCTGCTGCACCGTGACTAGGGTTGGGAGAGCGGGACTGAGCTTTTTCAGGCGGTTTCAGTAGCACAGGTGAGCGGGCGCGCGCACGTAGTTTCGGCCAATCAGCGTAAAGCGTGAACACCTGAAGTTTCGTGATGTCACTTGTTTCCTGAAACAGAACCTTCAGCTGGAAACGGAAGTGACAAATACGACAAAAGAAACAAATAACAGAAGTGAATACACCTTAACTTCTGTTACAACTGATTACATAAATAGTATACCGTTTGTTTGATTACCTTTTTTATTTAATAAGTTACACTTTTTAAAAACAAGCTTAATCATTGCATATGTAAACATGATAAGTAAACAGGTAGCGTTTTATTTTTATTCTAATGAAACTGAAATAGTCATAATTAAATTAAGCAAATAAAGGTTGCTTTAATCACAATGTTTTATTTAAATTTTGTTCAATTTTAACTCAGACCTTCAATTAGCAGTTTAAATGCCAAGTGTCTACGTGGTTCACATCCCTTCCAAAATCAAAACGTTGTATCAAGTTTGAGAGCTCTCTTAAAGCAGTAATGGTCAGAAATTCAGCGGGAGTGGGTAGGAGCGGGATATTAAATAAAGATAATTAATAAAGTGACACAACATGAAAATTTACTCTGTTATGAACACAGACGACTTTAATGAGGCGAGGAGGAAGCTCCCTCTTGCTGAGGAGTAGACAGACCTCCAGTCTGAGGCGGAAGCCATTGAAAGGCCTCAAAGAAGAAGAATTAAGTAAGAATTTTGTGAACTTTCTATTCCTCCACCTCTTGAGCCTGTGTTGAATTTGCACTCATTAACTTAAAATAAATGTTTAATTCTGAAAAAAAATTGTATTGTGTGTTCATTTCCAAAGACCAAGTATATGTCCATCCTCATCAGAGGATGAAGCCCAGACCCCTGGAAGAGGGCTTCCCCCTCCCCCAGCCATCCCCCCGGTGAGGAGAATGTTCATCCTCCCCAATAACCTGTACCTCTGCCTGATCTGACCAATTACCAGGTAATGAAAATCTCATCAAGTACCACAGTAACACATGTATAGCAAATGGGTTTGAGTGAAGCTGATCATGTAAGTGTGGTGTTTCAAATATGTTAGGAAATTTACAAAGGTTAATGAGGCAGTCACATGGAGAAAAATGCTTCTGGAGCCATTACGTCAGTGTTGAGGTCAATAATTGCATTTTGTAAACCATTGTTCTTCTTCCTCTCCCTCTTCTACACACTCTTCCAGCATGTCATGACCCTGGGCACATCATTGCGGCAGGCCATTGACCTGCAGGGTCACCAGGGAACCCAGGGGGTTCCAGTTCCAACTCCCTCTTCATCTGGTAGGATGATGAGGGAGGAACCGGCTCTCCAGGTGCCTACAGTTTGCCCTAGCTCCTCTCCAGGGCAGTGGCGGCAGAGGGACAACACAACATGTAAGGTTTTTATGGTTTACACTCACTCAGTCCTCTCATATGCCAGTTACAGTATACGAACACACATGATCCACGCATACATACTAATATAAGATGGTTTATAAAGTTAAACACACACACACACACACACACACACACACACACACACACACACACACATACACACACACACACACACACACACACACACACACACACACACAGAGAGAGAGAGAGAGAGTCTCCTGCATGAAGTCCTGTAAAACAGGAATTAATCCTTCAGCAGCAGTGCGGCCTCACCAAAATGGTGCAGGACCTTTTTGTTGCTGTTGCTGCACTTCAGGGCCTGACCACAGGGGGAAGTGTGGAGACCAGGCACCATGGCATCTTCCCCTTGGCAGATGTTCAGGCCCTGATGGCCCTGGAGAGGGAGCTTGGAATCAGTTCAACATTGGCCCATAAATTGGTGAGCTTTTTTTCTGTTCTTTACAACAAAGTTTTGGACAATGCATTTTGGCATGCACATCCAATTTATGTGTTGTTCAATATCGTAAAGTGGTAGATATGCCAAAGGAGTTAAAGTACTGCTTGTGCAACCAACGAGCTCCACCCAATTATTTGCGCCCCCCACGTTTCAGGTCTCTGTCCTTCATCAGGCAACCACGAAACGCCAAATAAATAAATAGTGGAGCACAATGGCTATCCAGGCTTTTCTTTAAGTTTGTATAATATTTGTTTGAAAATTCAATGAAAATCAATCAATTTTTCTAATTTTAGGGTTCAACACTCGGCCTTGCGGGGGGGTCCACAGTAAAGGACACGGTGTGGCGGGTCCTCAAAGGAGCCATGACTAATGCCCTCGCCAAGGGAATTTCTTGATGAGGGCAAAATGGGAAGGTGGCCTTTGAGAGGCTCCACCTAAAAGGCATTGTACTTGGTAAGTTTAATCACAACAGTAACACGACTGTTCTATCACACAGCTGATAAAATTATAGTTTAGGATAAAATTATTAGCCACCCATGACAATCACTTTTCTTTTTTTTTTTTTTTGCTGATAAACTATACAAATGAGTGTCCAATTGTGCTGTAGACAAATGTAGTCCATAATTAGGCACTTTAGTGCATCTTAGTTAAAATTTAAATATTCTACCTAAAACTGTCAGCGATGCACCGTCGTCAGGCAAAAACTCAACACTGCATTTGAATTTAAATCTGCCATCACTATTGGCTAAGAGGTACATTATGATGTTAGATGGTACGTTATGATGTCACAATGTCGTGAGGGTGTGTATTTGTTAGAGGCTCCTCCCTCTCGGTCTGCTAGGCAACAGCATTTGTGGCATTTTTCAAACCGGAAGTGGGAGTTGAGTAAGAATCTGGCAGGGGGTGACTTGCTCTTTAAGTATATTATTATTATTATTATTATTATTATTATTATGGTTTTTATTATGTGTAGGAAAGTTACCATTTATTCTCAGACAGAGCTTTAAAAAAGCTTTACTCATCTAAATTAATTAGGAAAAAGATAAATGAAAATGTTATGAGCTTTAATATAAAAAAACTAAAAATAGCTAACAACACTGGCATTTAAAACAGAAACAGCAAAATCAACAACAAAAAAAGCAGTCACTTATTTGTCTGACTTTGTGCTACTGTTCTCTTTACCTTCTGAAACGTTTCATTTTCAGAATGCTTTAAAGAGCTCTTCAACCACTGAGCATGTGTCTTATTTTTTGCCTGACCCAGATTACATTTCAGTTCTCTTTATTATTTTTTTTTATTCCAGTCACGTTTAATGAAACAGGATAAATATGTTTTTATCCAGTGGCTTCACAGAAACTGAAAGATAATAAACATATCAACAAATAGCTGATGGAGTATCTGGTAGTTGTGAGTCACAGCTCAGAAGGAGGTAAAAGTGATACCTGGTTTGCTGCATCTGCTGGGCTGATTACTAAAGCTGACCTCACAGCTCATCTACTTACAGTTTGTCCCTTCCTCCTCAGAGAAAATGCAGAAGAAGAGATGAACTAAGAGAACTGATTTCTGTTAATCATTGATTCAACAAAGGTTCCCTCTGACCTTTTCCTTTTGGTAACTATGTGAGAGCTTGAAGGGGAGGAATCCTTCTCCAACACTTAATGAAAGACGGTGAAGGAGGTGATCCAGTTTAGACAGAGACAGCTTATTTAGACTGTTTGCCCTCAGGAAATCCCGAAGACAGTCTTCTCATGACAGCATGAGAAGGAGAATTCCCGGGAATTTTAAAGTCCATTGTCAGATTTGATCAACCAAAGTCTTCCTTCACATGGCAAAAGATCAAACAAAACACTGATGGGCATAGTTCCTATGGGATTTTGTCTGTTTCAAACTGGGTTGTTGTGGTCCGCTAGCAGGAAGTTTAGAGTTGACTCTCCTGGTCAGACTGGTTTCATCAGGCTCCTGCATGTATTTTATCAGTTCTTTGAAAACATAAAACAAATCATAAAGTCTCTTGTATGAGGGACCTCAGCAAGCACATACTTGTCGGCTACGTCTTCTCACGCTCAAGAGCTTCGTGAGAACACACCATTATAGATAAAAGTTTGATTTTAGAGTTCACAACTCAAGTTTTGTTGTTGTTTTCTTCAGTGATACTAAAAACAGTCTGTGAGTCATCTCTAGGTAGATAAAGTAGGCAGCACAGTTTTTGACTTGTATCCGATCACATGACTGACTCATCAGCAGGAAGAGACGACCGAAGATATTCACTGTACTCCAAAGCAGGGCGTGTCACCAGGGGTTTCAGCTTTCTGGAAGCACATTCTGACCCGACCTTAATAGGAGTGTTTTTTTCAACGAAGTCTCATTGTGAATAAGCGTTTGAAAGGTGATTTACGTTAAAACCAACCTGAAATCTGTCTTAATAAGTTCCTTTGATAATTTGAGGCATGAAATTAGTAGTTAATTGGTAATTTAGTCCTGTGATCACATTACATTCTGTAACCTAAGTAAGCTGTAATCTTTCCTTTATGACTCAACTGTAGTTCTTTCACTACTTTGCACATTTCATAACTACTTTCTTTGATCAAACTGCATAAGTTTGAGATAAATGCTGCCATCTGGTGGCTCATGCGAATATGAAGCATGACAAATGGCCTTCAAAGGAAAAATATTGCTTTCTGAAAATGTCAGGAATGCCACAAAGACTTATAGGGAAAATTTGGAGCATCAGAGATTAGTTTTGACAAAACACATGAGCTGTTGGCTTCTTAAATTTGGAAGTCCAACACATCTACAACCTCTATTACTACAGATCAATCCCAAGTATTTCAGTCCAGCTCTTGCTTCTTCTTCTTTGATGATCAACATACTGATTCTTGAACTCCCCCCTTTATGTCAAAGACACATCCCATATCTGGAAAAAAATAACAACACTTTTTTCTTTAATGAAATTGCCTCAGACTTGGAGGAGCAGGTTTCCAGCTGTCATTCCCCCCAGGGCACAATGAAGATTATGGCTCCTCTCCATGACTGCACCTTGAGATCTATATCCAAGAACACACCACACTACACCAGAGAGGCTGCCCTGGCAGAGTCAAGCACACTTGGAAATAAGGTGTAATTCAATTCAAGTTTATT